CATGCTCATTCTGGGGACTAAGGAAATGCTTATCTCCCTGAGCGCAGCCTTCACCAAACCATTCCATCACAGAGACAGAGAGAAGAGATGCTGCCTAGGGAACAGTCAGCTAAGAGACAGCAGCTGGATAGTGGGCAGAGCAAGAGGCTCAGAAGGAACCCTCCTTTAGTTTCTCAGGCTGTAAAGGAGACAGCAATAAAGTGGAATTAGCATAACTGGTTGTGTTTCCTATCTGGTCTACCTGGTAAGGCTGACATGTACCAATCGGAGAGCCTTTCACCTATCTTTATTTTTATCTACTAAACATAGGACTCAGCTATTAACTATTAACTGAACTCAGGATTAACTATTAGGCAAAATAAGCACCTTGCTTTGGACACTAAGGGTGGGTGAGGGGAGTTTTCCCCTAGTAATCATGCCCTTAACTCTTTCACTGCCACACTTAACTTTAGTTTTTAATAAATTTTTGTATTTGCATTTTTCCCTTATAACAATTTTATTAAAATGTGTTAAAAAGTGTTAAATTTGAATTTTTTCTACTGCCCTAGTTATAATTAAATAATTTACTCATATTGCTTACTATTATTTAGTTTAAATTTGAGAGAGAGTGAGAGTGAGTGAGTTGTGGGGTCCAGCTTGGAGGATGGCCTGGAAGAAAACTGAATGTTTAATCTCTTATTTCATCTTCAGCACTTATGGAGTCTTAATGTCTTGCCAGTTAAACAATCGACAATTTGTAATGTAAACAACCAGCTGGTCTGGACACAGTTCAAGGAATGGAGAGGAGGATGGAGAACCCCAGATTCCTTTCCCTGCTCATCACAGTCTGATGGGCTGCTCTTCCTGACAGGACAGGACAGGACAGGACAGGACAGGACAGGACAGGACAGGACAGGACAGGACAGGACAGGACAGGACAGGACAGGACAGGACAGGACAGGACAGGACAGGACAGGACAGGACAGGACAGGACAGGACAGGACAGGACAGGACAGGACAGGACAGGACAGGACAGGACAGGACAGGACAGGACAGGACAGGACAGGACAGGACAGGACAGGACAGGACAGGACAGGACAGGACAGGACAGGACAGGACAGGACAGGACAGGACAGGACAGGACAGGACAGGACAGGACAGGACAGGACAGGACAGGACAGGACAGGACAGGACAGGACAGGACAGGACAGGACAGGACAGGACAGGACAGGACAGGACAGGACAGGAAAGGAAAGGAAAGGAAAGGAAAGGAAAGGAAAGGAAAGGAAAGGAAAGGAAAGGAGTAAGTTGGTTCTCAATCCTTCCTTTTTTCACCTGGGGGAAAAGGGGTTTTACCTTGCCCCTGAAACACTAGTCTTCCATGGGCAGGGATTTTATTCAGTACAGTATGGAGGAGAATTCATCCATGCAGTCTGAAATGGCAGAGCTTAGGCACAAATTTATCTTCTCCATAAAGAACAAGGTGGAGAGATAGAATCTGAAAAATCCTCTTTCGTTTTGTTAATCTCACATTGCCTTAAAGGTGACTGGTTTAAATTTAAATGTTAAGGCAGATCAGTAACTTGCAAATGAAATTCAGCTATGTGATGCCTCCAAGGAAGTGAAGTGAAGAATGAAAATGAATTAATTTGAAGTGGGCACTTTCTCTCCAATACATAAATGATTATTTGAACATAGCAACATTATTAAAAGTACAATAATGGCTTGTATTCCATAAAGGAAGTATATATTTTCAGAAGTTGTATGAAACTGTATGAAGAAGAAGAATTCTGGGAGTTGAAGTCCACACATCTTAAAGTTGTCAAGGTTGAGAAACACTATACTAGAAGTTCTGGGGGGCACGGTTTAGTCATATCACCTTCACCCTTCTCTGATCACACTGAACAGCCTATCCCGACCTGGTCCCTTCCAGTTACAGTATAATGGATTATAATGGATTCTTTTGCCCAGCAATCGATGGATAATGACAGCTGCAGACTGGTATCTTTGAAGAGCAAAAGGTCGGAAAAGCCTGATTTCTTTGACGAAGGAATTCTAGCCTAAGTCTAGATGGCTCACTGGTTTACCGTAGTATCTGCAATTACATCTGTGTTCAGGAAATCAGCTGTAAACAATGCTGTACAGCAGGTTATGCTGACAAATGATTAACGTCCCTCGCTGCTTTCAATCGTAAGTAGTTAAGGAAGCTGAGTTATTAATTTACTTGTTCTGAAAGACTTTGGAGAGTGGGGAGCACGAAAGTAGCCCAAAATCCAAACTTCACAATGGGGAAAGCGTTTTCGTAGGCTCCACCAGAGTGTCATCAAAAAACGGCAAACGTTCCAAATCTGAAAAAGACGCAGCCCATGGATCTGTGGGGTTCTTGCTGTCGCCCAGATCCGAGAGCCTTTTCAAAGGTTAGGATTGAGCCCCTTAAGAGAAGAACCCCGGCGGTGTCCAAAGGAAGGTTTTCGGAGCATCTGTGCGATGTTTCCCGAGGCGAGCGAAGGCGCACCTATTGGCGCAACCTGCATTGCAACCGTTCCGGGACGAAGAGCGTGAAAATTAGGATTTGCCTTAATCCTGGTGCGAGCCAGCGCTCTAGGCCGCGGAAGGGCGGCCGGTTTGCTGCGCGGCTCCGCCCGGCTGCAACGAGGGAGCAACCCCGGCCAGAGGCGGCGGGGAGGGCGGTCGCTGGGAGGGGTTTTGCGAGGGGCGGCGTCTGAGCTAGATGAGGAGGCGCCCAGAGCCGGCGACAGTAAGTGGCTTCTTTCGCGGGTCTCCAGGTCGCTTTGCGCGCCCCCGCCGGGGCATTGTCCGCCTTTGCTCTCGACCTGTCTCTTCCTTCCTCCTCCGCCTGCTTAGCCGTCCGCTTCCTGCTCTCAAGGGTTCCCAAAGTGGCGGTCCTCTGCCCAGGGAAGCTGTGAGCATATGCAGGGGGGCTTCGCTTTTCTACCCTCCCGCTGTGGATCGGGGCTTTCAGATTTTAACGCGCATCCTTTGGGCGCGTTCGAACCTCGCTGCTTCGTTTCCAGCCTCTGTGGGCGAACAGCTACGAATCCCCGGTATAATCTTTAGCTGCTCGCTTGAGTGCGGTCGCAGGGGGTCTCCACGCTGCCCTCCTTGCAGCGGGGTCTAACCCTTTCTGGCAAATCCCCCCGACCCCGTGAAAAGAAGATACATTTCCGGCCTGGATGGGGAAGTTTATTTTCTGCTCCTTTGTCAAATGTGCAGGAAGCCTGGCCGACTGGGTGTGCGTGGGTGCCATCAGTTTCCCTCTTGCTTACAAACCAACTTTTGAACGACTCTGACACTCCTGTGCCTGGCTGGCATAGCCCAAAATTGCCAGTCAGCTGTGGAGCAGCAGGCATCTCTCAGTGTTCATCTTTTCCAGGGTCAACCCAGCAGCTCTCCTTGGTTTTTGGTTTGGGGTTGGCATAGCCCTTCCCCATATGGTGCTCTTGAGTGTGTTGGGCTACAGTTCCCATTATCCCCAGTCAGGAGAGTAGCTGGGGAGAAGGGAGCCCAGACATCACTGGTGTGAGACATAATTATCCAAGGAACTGGGCTGTTATAATCTAGAGTATCTTCATCTGATTTTTAAACCTGAGACATCTATTGGGCGGGTGTCCTTCCTCCCTTCCCTGCAGCCAACAGCTGCCCTATAGCCCCCCCTCCAGGGGTGTTAATTATACACCAGAGCCCTTGGTCTTGCTTTCTTTAAAAAGCAAGCTAACAATTCAGGTTTTTTGTAAGTAAAGCAATAGCAAACTCAGCACATGCTCTCAAACCCTCCCAATAAAGCCACATGACAAAATAGAGTTGGAAGGCAGATTTCCATGATGACTTACCGGTACCAGTAAGCACCAGTGTGCCTGCAGACACTGCCTGGGCACTCATTAGACTCTCTGTCCCACCTGACTTTTTAGATATTTTAGATTATTTAAAATGTTTAGGAAAGGGCAGACTGCCAGCCTGCAATATTCTCTGTTTCCAGTTGCATTTATGGGCACCATGTCACCCGTAAGCATTCCTACGCTGAAAATAATTAAGAATGGGATTTCTTTGGAAGTCTGCCCATTTGCCCAGAAAAAAAGTGAAAGGGGAGAGGGGTTGTAAGGAGCATCCATACCAGCAGAAACATCCTCAGGGAGGGTCAAAAATGTCATGATCAACACTACATGATTAAAGCCATGCCACTTTTTTACATGTGTTGTATATGTGCCACATTAAAAAGGCCTCTGGTCAGCATCTTGACTTTTTTGCCCACCCCCCTGCAGACACTCCTGCTCACCAGCTTGCCTTCTGCCTAATGTATGTTATACCAACTACAACAGCCATGTTCTGAACAATGAAAGTGTCCTATGCCGGCCTTTTTGTCCAAGTGCCCACTCAGGACTCTATAAAATCAATTGATTATGGCAGGGTCTCTATCTATCTATCTGTCTGTCTGTCTGTCTGTCTGTCTGTCTATCTATCTTATAAATAAAACATTCCAAATATAACTGCCAGCCAAACAAAAAAATTGGGGGGAGGGGGCTAGATTAGTATACAATGCCTAACAATTTTTCTGGTCATCTGAAGTTACAGGACCTTCCACAAATGCATTGAGAATGTTTAGTCTGTTGCTGCAGCTCTCACTGACAGATGGGATTTTGTTTCTCAATAGAGTCAAGAGTAGGGTTACCAGATCTGGGCTGCAGAACTCTGAACCACCACTAGATGGCAGGAAAGAGTAAATGTTCTGTATCTTTGTTGCCATCTCATGGTTCTCTGGAGTGGTACAGACCTTATCTGGTAGCTCACTAGTCAAGGAGCCTGCATCCTTTCATGGAGAAGTTCTCAGCTTCAATCCCTGGTGTCTCCAGGTAGGGTTGGGTAAACCCTCTCCATTCTGAAGAGAGCAAAACCAATCACTGAGAATATTGGGCTGGAACAGCCAGGGTCTGACTTGGTACAAGGTATGGTAAAAATCTTACTATTTACTTAGCAAAAATGCTAAGGATCTGAACTAAGGTAGACCAGTATTCCCATCATCATCTTCCATAAGATCAGAGCTGAAGTAAGAGTACAGGAGCTAGGTGAAATCCCCATTGTGCATTTTTATCTGAAATGAAGCTCTAAATTTGTAGCTCTTAGTTGCGGCAAAGAATCAAACCATATAATGGTTCTGATAGAGAGAATTTACATTAGTAGGTCTAAAAGACATCAAGTAGCAAAGGGTTTATGATTAATATATTATCATAATAA